TGCATAGTAGAAAAACATAATAAATACATAATTTTAACCTACTTATTAAAAAATAATTTTTAATATTATTTTATTTTGTAACTGAATACAAATCAAAGTTAAAATTAAACTTGCACTGTTTTAAAGAAAACACTTTATGTATTTCCACCATAGTTAAGCGCAATCTGAGGTTTTCAAAGTTCTCGTTCCGTGGTCAGTTCTCGATGTTTGCGCCCAAACCTTAGGGGAGCTAACCCTTCGGTTCGTGCTATGATACGATCGACTTTCTGACTGGCTTCCGGTAATTCTATTTTTAGCCTGGGCACACCTGAATGAATGACCGCGTGTCTGCGGGCTCTCAAACAGGTTCCACCGAGTTTTACGGGCGTCGCCTAATCGTGTATGCGAGAAAGCCGGCGAAGCCCGAAGCCCAGACGGCCGATGCTTTTGTCCATGGCCGTCGTGAGAGCCTCCAGAGACTGGATCCAGGAATGCACCGGCCTCGATAATTAAGGAATGCTATTCCGTTGTTCAAATAACAGGAACAGATGGAATCTGATCATGTTTTTTGTCGGCTCAGGTCGACGAATCAGTTTTTTCCTGGCATACAGAGTCGTTATATCATCCAGATATTTCTGTTACCGAGGCGTTGATTTCTCGGGAGAAAATAAACCATTCGCTGTTTAACTTGACATGAGTTCTTCACGGTATTTACACTCCGTCGATTATACAGTATTAGAATTTGTCTTAAAAATAGTAAAAATCAATACGTCGGGTCTGGAAAATTAGAAAAAGCCTTCCTAGTCTTTTGTAGTCATAGTTGTATAAATATTATACCGAGTATTGGATAAACTTCAGTTAAATTCATCTCATTAAGTAGAGAAGATTGTACGTGATCAGACAATGTAGAAGCGCGATTGTTCCAAAGCCAGTTCATTTTATTTGATTTTTGTTCATAAAGTATTTCTATTCTATTATATTATAATTGTATGTACAATAATTAGACTGCAGATCTTTATTAAAAATAAAACATCGAAACGAAATCTAAATAAAAATTTATTCTGTATTTTAAAACTCGTAATAATGCATTTTGTGTCCTCAGACATGCAATAAATTTTTTATATTTTCTGTACATACGATTTTTCTATAAATGCATAAAATCCGCAGTCTAACGTCAGTTAATGCGTGCAAAACTGCGACAGGTT